CTTTAAGTAAGCTGGTTGTATTTGCTCTGAGCCTGGTAGTCTGTAATGAAGGGAAGAGTTGACAGAGCACTTACTTTTTCACCTCTCTAATAGAATTCCTTGCCAGTTGGGCAGGAAGGGAGGGCTGGTTTATAGTTGTTTCTGGGGATTTCCCCATGAAATGGAATTTGTTGCTTTATAAGTATATATGATATTATGAAAAAGAATATGGAGGACTGGAAGCTGTTTATTTATTAGACTATAATGACATAAAACAAATACCATTCAATTATTTGTGACCTTTTGATATTAAATGAAATACATACAAAGGCACATCCTAACCATTCTGCTTGTGTCTTCGGTAATGTACTTTTTTTAGGAGTCTTACAATTTTGAAGCAAATCTTGTAACTAGTTCTTACTGCATACTGATTGAAATGTAATCCTGAGCTTATTTGAGGAAAACTGAACTGAAAGTTTTATTCCAGGAGTCTACAGAATTGTCCTTTGGCCAACACTGAGCCATGACTGTATATGGTGGATATGTCTGATCCAGGGAGTCCTACCTAAATTAAAATGCTCTGAATCTTACAGGGTTATAGCTATGGGGTCTCAGCAGTAACTGCTTTGATTGTGATCTGCCAAATTATATGCTCGTATTTCATTGTTGTTCCATATTACCTCGCTATGTTTCATATGCCTTCATTTCATGTTCTCATTCCATCTCCTATTCATTCTACATGTATCATGACAAAAGCTTTGTAGAGCTGCTGTGTAGGCAGAAGACGCAGGTTATGGTGAACCGAAGAGAAAGAAACCCCAAGGAGAAGGATCAGCCTAGCAAGCACATTGCCAAGGACTCCTTTTCCTTGTTTCAGAAATGTGTCAGTTCGTATATTTTGTGTGCAAGAGTAACAGCAAGAAACATCAGTCCTCAAATAAGATGATCTCAAGTAGATGAAGTTTTTTGATTTTTACAATCCGCAATTTAAATTCCATGTGAAAGGCAAAGCAGCAAAATCTGTTTCTTCAAGTAGATTTTGTAATATTCAGTTACATGAACTTAGTTGTGGCCATTTTTTGAGTAATTTAAACACTACATTGTATTACTAATTTATTTTTTTTAAAGTACTTAGATTCTAGTCTATGAGGATGACATGCTGTCCCTGATCAGGACATGATGAAGGAATTAACCATGGTGACGTTTTCATATTTGAGATTAAAAGAAGACACACGTCTGCCAAATGCAAGCAGAAGGAAAAATCTTGTTACTTTTTCTAAATCCTCTAAAAGCAGCTGGATTTTTAACTTATCCAAATTGTGAAATTTTGTTGAGATTGATGTCCACATAACAGTGTAGAGAAGCACAGAATATCATAAGAATTCAGGATGTGTGCTGGTCTCATAAGAGAAAATTCAGGAAAAAAAGCAAGAGTGCATTTTCTCTTCAGTGGAATAAGCCAATTACTTCCCTTTAACTTCACCCTCATGCAGGCACTTGTTTAAAAACAGCAGATGTTTACAGTTACTGACTGTGACTTGTTTTTCTCATTTATTCTGGAGAAATTTTTTACTTTACTGGGTTTTTCCTGCGCAAAATCTGAGCAAAATTTAAAGGGTCCACAGTGTCATCTAATTACATTCTTTCTGCTGTCTCCACTAACTCTTTAACTACCTCAGCCCAGCATAAGCATGAGACTTGAGAGGAATAATGTATCTGGAGCTGGAAGATGTAGAGGAGAGTTGCACCCTTCTGTCATAAGTGTCATGATGCTTCTGGCTGTCTGCCTTATCAGGATGGCCTTGGAGTCCAGGCACAGTAATGGAGCTAGTGAGATGAAGCTATTTACTAGCTTCTAAAGAACTAAGAAAGTAAAAGAGTTTGGTTTTTCTATTTGGAAATAAAAGCATTGTCAAAGAGGCACCTATATAGCCAGCAGTGTAGTAGATACATTGTCATCAAATGCAAAGGAGATGCTCATTTGTAGACTTTAGTTCTGTACATTTCTTTTATTATGGGACCATGTAACTACAAACATAGTGTGATTTTTTCAAAGTTGGATTAGTCTGAAAGATGTGTAGTTCTCTATGTGTTGTTTAGTGCAGTATGTTTTGCACCCTGATTTATGGAACACAGATCTCTGCAAGGTTTGTGGATCTTACAGGAAAAAATACCCACAAAGCAAATATATGGATCTAAAATGATGTTAACTTGGATAGCTTCATCTGGTAGCAGAATGGTAAACAGCAAAGCTGTACCCAGCCTTACTCTAAATTTGCTCTGGGTTACACCTACTAGGGGCTTATCATTATGAGCATGTTGGCAGTGACAGAATGCAATGCCTGTTTCAAACAGATTGAACAAATAAAACATGTCCCTAGATGGATTTAAAATGTAGAGTGCCCCTTTCTAGTTTTCTGTAGCTTGCTGACTCAAAATGCGGCACAAAGAAAGGAGATGAGCAAATGTTGAATGATATGAGATGGCAGCTATGGTTGGCTTAGAGAACTGTTCTGCCTCTGGCACTTTGGATCATGAACTTCATCACATCTGAGAAATGTTAACAGCTCGGCCTGGGGGCTTTAGCAGTTCTGAGTGTCTTTGTGGGTTTGTACTGACAGCTCCCCTCCATCAGTATGCAGTGATTGGCATGCGGGGGGCTCACATGCAGGAGGGTCTCAGCCTGCTATTCTTGTGCAGAAACACCATGATGGGCATCTGAGTGATGTTTTAATTTGATAATGAAAGCACCATTAAACCAGAAAAGAGAAAAATGCCTGTGTTTGTGGCACAAGATATTTTGTGTGACCACTGAGGTCATTTGAGACAGGCCTGCTGTTGAAATAGTTATACAAGTTTGCCAGCAATGACTCACTACAGTGGTGGCTGCAGATAAATTCCAGTTGCTTTCTACTTGTTTTTGGAGGTTTTGGTATTAGGGATTTCTGTATGTTGCCTAAAGATTAAAATTCTAGCAAGCTTAGGTTTGCAATTTCCCACATTTCTTCATATCTGAAATGCTTCAACAAGCTATGATCAGTACATCCTGCTGTCCCTTTTGGCTGTGTAAGAAGGGGATATAACATACTTTAGCATCATTAAAACCTTTTGTTTTTTCAGTCCTTCATGTGCCCATTTATAAAGAGATCCTGACTGGTGTAAGAACGCAAATAATTTTGGATGCTCATTTCTCAGATGTTTTCTCATCTCTCTCATTTAAAGAAATGTATTATGATATCACATCATCACCTATGGAAACCAAACTCATGGATTTGGGTTGTGCTGGAAAATGTTACACCTGTGTCTTTCTCTCCTTGTCTATATCATATATTTAGAGATATCTCTACTTTATTGTAAATAACTGACAGTGTAAATGGCCAAATGTATTGTTCTTCCATCCTACAGATGAGGAATTTTGGTAATAAAATGCTTTCTATTTGGACCTTAACCATGCAGGATATCTGCGGCAGAATTAAATAGAATCTGTGTTCTTAAGCTTTTTATGGTGCTTTTTAGCTTGAAAGGCCTTAGAAAATTAAATACTTACAGTGGCTATTTATCTTCTCTAGTTTCTTTTCTCTCCAGCTGTTGAAGGTTTAGATTTTTATTCAGCAGAAATAGATTTTATTCTTTAAGAGCCACTGAGGTTCTGTATGTATCCATATATTCAGAATTCCATGGGTTCTATATACAGAGAGACCATTTTCCTATAGTTTAAGAGCTATAGGTGGTTTTGTACTCTATACAGCTAGTTGTAAAATTGTCTATCTATTGTCCATCCACCTGGAACTGGCTACTGACCTCTTGAGAGGTAATGCATGACCAGTAGAAGAAGAATAGTTTCTTCCAGTTCAGCATGGACTTACTGTCCTTCCTATATGTAATTTTGAAACTCTGAATCCACATTCATTGCAGCTAGAAGTAGTTTGCTGGTTAAGGGATAATGGTGATGCCTGGGAAAGAACATGATTGGGATAATAATGGGCTCTTCAGAACTGATTTTGTGACTCTGTGGAGCTGCACTGTCATCTTCATTTGAGTGCTGCTGTTTAACAGGAGGAAGAAACCTTTCATTACTTGCCTGTTGCTGATAATGATGCAGCAAGAACAGAGTTATCGATGAGTCTTTGCAGCTTCCACTGACTGTCGAGCGTGGAACCGTAAATGCTTTTTTTTGTTGTTCTTTGAAGGAATATTAACAATCCTCATATTATAGAGGATTACATACATTATATCCTAATAGATACTAAGATATCTAATGTTACTTTGAAAGCACAAGTGAATTAATTACCCTTGTAATACTTCAATGAAATGGATGAATGTAAAAATTCTGCAGGTGGTGAATAAGGACACAAAATTAAATATTTCTTTCAGGTAACTCAGTAGACCTTGGTAAATGCATGTGCTGGACTGAAATATCTTTAATTGAGTTGCTACTCTTGTTTCTGTACAGAAACTGAATGAAAAAACACCCACATATTCTAAATTTGGCCCAAGAGTCACTAGTCAAGCTGAATTAAGACACCTCAACAAAGTAGCATCAATGTCATCTCTCCCAAAGACTGAAAGCACTCATCCCTTGATGATACCCTGCCACTACTGCTTCAAGCTTTATTTCAAATTCCTGAAACTATCTTTAAGTAATCTTCTAAATAATACTTTTCTATAATTTTAACTTTGATCATACCTTAGAAAAATAGCCAGAGCAAAGTGCTGTTTATGTCTTTTTGCTTTTTGAAAGATTGAAGTTTAAAATCATTATTGATATTTTTCTTCCATGAACTTTACCTTGCTAGCTATGAAAATCTTTCAGCAAAACTAGTGGTTTAGTGGTATTTCAGATATCTTTACCTCTCTCCTTTGCTTGTTGTTCTTCTGTGATGCCACAGTGCATGGTCTGTGTTTGCAATTATTCCCTGCAGCTGTTTTCTGCAAAGCTATAAGGAGAAAAATTGCTTGGATGATTGCAAAAACTAGTTCATAGCCAGGAGAATCCTGATCCTGTACTTGTTTTTTCACAGGCCTCCAGAACTGGCATCAAAGTATGCCAATTTCTCTGAGGGAATGTGCAAGCCAGGCTATGCATCAGCGCTCATGACTGTCATCTTCCCAAAGTAAGTAATCACTGTGGGAGTTTTTTTCCCACTTCCTCCGATGACTTCTCATAATTCAAGGTGGGTGATAGTCAGAGTTTGTCTTGAAAAGTGTCATTACTTTGTCACTTGATTGGTTCACGGAGAGACCAGTGTTGAAATTCGGAACAATTTGAGTGGTCAGTGGCAATGGCTCAGTTGACTTCAGCCTGACTAGGACTTTGCTCAAAGAGTAGAGACTTCTGGGTGTTGGGTAATAAAACAAATTATGTTGTCAGTACATAATAAAAATGTGTGGCCAGGCTCACTGCTAGTACCAGATGATGCAATGCTTAGGAAGCTTTGGTCATAATTAAATTATCTGGAGCAGATAGCAAAGTGTGGTGTTTTGTTGTAGTTATTTTGGGTTTTTTGTTCTTGGGAGAACAGGGTAAAGCATCCCTCAGGTGCCTGGAGTTTATAGAATTGCTGGGAGACAGTTCAGGAGATAGATTGGCAGGAACATTAATCTGTTGAGGCTCAAGGATTTCAGTTTGGAGCATTGAGTGGAAAATTTGACCAAATGGTTGTTTGACCATTGTACAAGCTTCTTGTACACGTGGAAGAGATGCTCTAGTGCAATGATCTCTTTGGCAAACGAGATTGTGGACTTCTTAACATAACTGGCACTTTTCCAAAAGAGGTACTTTATTTCTTTTAAAGAGGGAATTTCCATGACCTATGCATCTAAAGGTTAGGTTGAGTGATCATGGCCTTCAAGCCAAGCCTGAAACTGGTGGTATCTTCTGTCATTGTTTTTGTTGACAAGGATAGTGACTAGAAGCCTTTTTAAAATAATTAAAAAAAAAACCCCAAAACATTGCCTTGTAACCAGTAGATACCACAGACAAGCCTTAAAAACAAAACAAAACAAAACACTGAGGTTCTCCATCACTGGTGTAAACCAAACAATTTTTCAGTATTATCTTCTGTGAGAACTTTGGAGCTCTGGATAGAATATAAATACTAGAACTGAAAGTGAGTGCTTTTAAATCTGTGTTTGTATACATACTAAATGTAAATAGTAGGGAGTAGGATGAACTCAATATTGCAAAACTATTAATCTTATTTTAATTTTAAGAATATTTTGGCTTTGAGAAGGAAGTTTTTAGCCTCCTAGAATCTGAAGTGATATTTATTGTCTCCCTCAGTAGCTGCTTACAGATCTCTGTTCAGTCACCTTCTCCCAATAGATGACTGCCTTGAACTAATCCATGCAAAGAGGTACAGACATGTCTCTAGTCAAAGCAAGAGATTGTTGTCTTTTTCATACATTAAAAAATTGTATTCACAATTTTAAAGACAGCATTTCACCAGGTATTTATGTTCAGGTTCTTGTTTAACATGGACCCTAAAACTTAACTCATGTTGATGTTTTTTCCTGTGATATCTTTGATTTCTTTGCCAACTGAATTCAGTGTTGGACATTTCATTATTTTACTGAGTACTGCTGTGAGGATGGCTGACCAGTAGATCTGAAAAATAATCATGCTGCACTTAAAATTCCTTCTCTTTTGCAACTTTACTTGTACTCAGAGAACTATGCAAAGTTAATAATACCAAGCCAGGTATTCAATATATTTAGAACTCTTAAAGACAAATTATCATGCCTGTTCATCTAAAGATTCAAGCTGCATGATTTGTTTTATTCTAGCTTTTGTTTTCAGTTGATTGTCTCATTAAGAAACTATCATCTCTACAACTGACATATTTTAGGCATGGTCTTTATGGTAATATATGTGTTTTTGTTGGGTGTTTTTAATATTTGGATAAAGTTGGTTTGGCTGTTTTCAAGCATGAATAAAATGAATAAATGTTTTCCCGTTTTAAGGTTCCTGACTTTTTAGTGCAATTTAAAATGTGAATAGACAAAATATGGTGGAAATAGTTGAAATAAAATAAGTATTTCTCAGAGGATGTAGCTCTTTCTGGTAAGTGCTTTTTTACTGGTAAAAATGAGAATTTAGACTTTAGCAAGCATAAGACAATGCTGGATGGATTAAAGGGCAATGGCCTGAGAAATACCAAAATGTGGTAGATAATAAGGAAAGACTAAATGTATGTTTGTTTGTTTGTTTGTTTGCTTTAATGAGGTCCTCAGTTGATCAGTTCTCATTTTAGCAGTGCTTGATCCCTTCATCAATAAACCTATCTGGAAAAAATCTTAGGTTGTTGAGTACTAAATAAAGGGTCAGTTTTTTCTAGAGAACAATCTGGATTGCCTGATTTAAATGGCCACAGTCCAACAAAATACATGTTAATATATCCAACATGAAATAAAACATCTGGAAGGAACAAATGCAGATTTTATTTTTAAGATAGAAAAAAAACCTCTGTCTTGGAAACAGAGAAATCTTCATGTCATCTTAACAAACTATAATTTCTTAAGTGCTATTTCATATATGCACAAAAGAAGTTGAGCATTTTGTATGAAACACTGACTTAAAATTACAATACAAAACATCACAATCCAAGATTTCTAGACTACTGTGTCCAATTTCAATGGTAAAGTGTGAGAAGAGAGGGGAAATACAAGATGGAAGAAAAGCCACAAAAATGAACAATGACTTGCTTAAACAGTAAAGTAAACAAGACTCCTAGAAATAAGTCATCATTCTGAAGCAGAAGTTGTATCCAAATGAGGAGACTAGGAAAGAGCTTTAACTTTGGCAAGTTAAATATAAACCATAATGAGGTAGAGCAAAAAAAATGTTGAGGAACAACTTTGTAGAGACATTAAAAAATAATAAAGCTTTTTGTCTAACTGTCAAAGGCAGAAAGCCTGTCAGAGATCTCGATGAGCTGATAGAGGTTCATAATATTACATGTGAGCTGAGGGAAGGTAAAGCTGCAGCAGAGAAGTTATTTGCATTGCTATTCACTGCAGAACGGTTCCCATGTGGACCCTTCATTTCTAGGGCACAGGCTGGGGGAATGTGACAGAAACTTGACGTTTTGGAGTGAATTCCAACACAAGAATTGCTAGGAAAAGTTCTCACTTAGTGAGGAACTCGGTGTTGAAGTTGCTGAGTTACACACGGTTGTGTGTAATCATTGTTTAAATTGGCCTTAGAATGGAAGAATGAAAAGCAGTAAACGTGCTGGGCTTTTCAAGAAGGGTCTGGGGGATTCATTGGGAGAGTGGAAGCTAAGAGCAAGTCTGGTTTCTGTATCAGGCTCCTCTTAGAACCTAAAAATAAAGAATAGAATTAGTGTTTGTTCACAGATAGAGAGGAGATAAGTTGTCTTCTGCAGCAGGAACTTCTGTCCTGTAAATCTCCTTGTGTTGTTTCAATGACTGGATCAGCATTTGATAAAGATGTTTTAACTAATGCAATATGTCCACAATGCAAAACTATAATGCACACATACAAAACAAAACAAGAAAAAACAAAACAAAACAAAAAAACCCAAGCAAACAAACACCTGCTTGAAAAACCAAAAACAACCAAACTTGCTGTTTGAAATCTTTTTGGAAAGTTAAACTGATGTCATTCTGTAGTTATTAGATAGTGACTAGGTAAATAGCGGAAACTGTATGGAAAAAATAAGATTGGACAGTACAAGGATGTTACTCCTGGAGTCTTCTGGAAGAAAGTGTGCTGGGATCTCTGCTGTTCCAAGTGCTCATAAACTACCTGGAATGTAGGATGAATAATAAAGCACTACCACATTTTTCAAGGTGGTAAGACCAAAAGTTGACTGTGAGAAATGTCAGAGAGATCTCACAGTGGTAAGTGGTGGGGCAAGAAAATGGCAGGCCAATTTCAGTTCTGATAGAGATAAGAGAGTGTTTGTGGACACAACATAATTTGTTTTATTGCACAAGACTGATCAGACAGTTTGTGGGTGTATGGTGGACTTAGTTGTGCCTTAGTTATACTCTGTGAAGTAGAGCAAGCAGAGAGTGTTCACAAGCCTGTATAACATAGTGAATGATGTAATTGGACAAGATTTGGAGATACTAAATGCAAATATTCTGCTCCAGGTTTAAAATAAATAAAGGTAAGTGCTATTTCATGCTATTTCCAGTTGTATTTTTCTGTGAATGGGCTCCATAGTGGGCAAAAGATTAAAAAAAATAAAATATACTCTTAAGTATTCAGGTATGGAGCTCTCTAAGTTGCATCCTAAATAGATGTTGAGGGCAGCACATAGCTTGATGTAGTCCTTCTTTCTTAGGCTTTTTACTGGAGTGTTGTCTCATGGACACAGACAAAAGGTGTTGGGCAAAATGGATGTCTGGTTTAATCCCTTGCATCCATGCCTTTCTTTTCTGGGTTTTTTAGTGATTATGCCTTAAAGGCAGAGTGACATAGTTTCAGAAAAACATCCTGTAATCTGAGTCACGACAGTGGCTCCACACCAAGAGAAATGGGTGCATGATCTCAGTACTGCATCTCAGTGTCAGGTCTGGCCAGCTGGGCTATGTCTGCTGCTCACTGTAAGTGAAGGAGCTATCTAATTTCTCACTTTCCAGGACAATAGGGCTCTGCCTCTTGCAAATCTCCCAACAGCAGGATCAAAGTGCCTGAAGTGAGGTTACTGGTTTCAGAATGATATAAAGAAAATGGCAAGTGTGTTTGGTAAAATGGCATCAGTAGGTTGGTGAATTAGACTACTATGTTCAGTGAATTACACTATTTTAGTTGGTCTGAGGTCACCTACAAGTCTGGAGTTATTGCTTTGACCTTTTTGTAGAAGGCACTAACTTGTATTTGTGTAACACTGCAGTCTCCTGCGAGTCTGGCCTTGCTGTGGAAACGATGCCGCCTGTGTACAGCTCTTTCTATGCCCTATTCTTTATCAAATGAGAAAAGAGACCTCTGCCCACGGTTTGTGGCTGACATGCCAGCCTGGGACAGTTCAGCTACTCAATACTCAGCTGCAATTTTCCAACCACAAGCTCTTGTAATTTGGCAGCTGATACTAAAAATTAGAGGAGGCGGTAAATGGAGAGGGAATGTCTGCAGCCTGCAGAC